TGGGTAGCTCAGTCAGTTGAGCATCCAACTCTTGGTTTGGGCTCAGGTCATGATCCTAAGGTTCACGAGTTCGAGCCCTGCATAGGTATCTGCACTGACAGTGTGGAGCCTGCTTAGGATTCTCTCTCTCCCTCTCTCTCTCTGCCCCTCCCTTGTTTGTGCTCTCTATCTCTGTCTCTGAAAATAAATATATAAAAACATTTTAAAAAATTAAAAAAAGAGTCAGTGAACATTCTAACTAAAGCCCAGAGTTAGGCATATATTCTTAATCAGAACAGGAATGCTTACTTCACAAAGGAGCACCAGAGAACATATGCCTGCCTTAGAAATTCTCACTACCAGGAAGTGTGTGTGTTGGTGGGCAAGAGGGCATGGGGAGAGAAGTCTTAATGAAACTTATTCATCCTTCTCTGCCTGACTTATTTCGCTCAGCATAACCCCCTCAAGGTCCATCCATGTTGCTACACATGGCCAGATTTCATTGTTTCTCATTGCCATGTAGTATTCCATGGTATACATATGTTTGCACGTATAGGTGGATTAGGAGGAACTTGACGGAGGAACGAGGGGGAGAAGAAGGGCGGAAATGGTGGGGGAAAGGGAGAGAGGCAAACCATGAGAGACTCTTGAATGCTGACAAAAACTGAGGACTGATGGGTGTGGGGGGGAGGGGGGGATGGGCATGGAGGAGGGCACTTTGGGGATGAGCACTGAGTGTTATGTAGAAACTAATTTGACAATAAACTATTTGTAAAAAAAAATAAATAAATAAAAAAAAAAAAGAAAGAAACTTATTCAGTTTACTCCCACCAAATTTTCAAATCTGCAGCTTCTCCCTAGCACATCGTGAAAAAGGGTGTGAAAAAATGATGGACTTTACAATACATGAGCATCTAGAGTAGGCTAGAAATACAATGTTCCAACAGTCTGATAAAGTTGATTCAGACATGCAAACACTTACTTTTTGTATAATAATATGTACTACTTAACATAGTGTGTACATTCTCATAACCACTCCTGAATTCTTTACATACATTAATCCAATAAATTCTCATGCAAGCCAAAAAACATTTGTAGCATTAATAGCCTCATTTCACAACATAAGAAAATGGAGAAATGGCAAGATCATTTGGCTTTCTCATAACCACAGAGGTGGTTAAAAAGGGAGACGGGATTTGAACCTAGGAAGTCTGACACCAGGTTTACATTCTCAGCCACTACACTGCATTTAGTCACATGACCCTCTGAAATAGCAATGTGACAAGTGCTATGATAGACATAGAAGGTAGATATGTAATCACCCAAGGCCATGGACTATAGAAAGTCAAAAATAGTTCCAGAAGATAAAGACATCAGGAACATCAGGTAGGCAACTAAACAAAGTTCCCTGTGGATTAGGTCAAGACAGATGGATAGAATGTGGTGTGGAGGGTCAGGGGAGGGAGTATTAAGAGTGGTATTTTGAGTTAGCCAATTCTGCTTTCAGTTATTTCACCTCCTAAAGTTTATCTCATTTTATCCATATGACAATCAACCAATTTGTTTATTAACCAAGTTTCAACTTTCTGGAATGATAGTTTTCAAAATTTAGGCTTGAAGCCTCTTAAAAATACATATTGCTTGGCCCACTCTAAACTAGATTCATAAGGTCTGTGGTGTATCCCACAAATAAAATCCCATTTACTTTCCCTCAGTCATTCTGTATATTTATAATTCAGTGATCCACAGTCCATGCCACAGTTGTAGGAAGCTGAGAATCAACACACAGTTGTCCTACTCAGACAACACAATATGATTCAAAATTCCTAACAAGATTTATAGTTTTTACCTAGAATATAAAAAGTTGGAAAGAATGCCATTCAAAACTTTTTGACAAAGAAAAGTATATGCTGGATAAAAAAAATTTTCAGGGTGCCTGGGTAAGTGGCTCAGTTGGTTAAGTGTCCAACTTTGGTTCAGGTTATGATCTCATGGTTTATGAGTTCAAGCCCCGCATCTGGCTCTGCGCTGACATCTCTGAGCCTGGACCCTGCTTCAAATTCTGTGTCTTCCTCTTTCTGTGCCCCTCCCCTGCTTGCCCTCTGTCTCTCTTTCTCAAAAATAAGGAAACATTGGGGCCCCTGGGTGGCTCAGTTGGTTAAGCATCTGACTTGATTCAGGTCATGATCTCACGGTTCGTGGGTTTGAGCCCCGCGTCGGGCTCTGTGCTGATGACTAGCTCAGAGCCTGGAGCCTGTTTTAGATTCTATATCTCCCTCTCTCTGACCCTCCTCTGGTCACGCGGTAGCTCTCTCTCTCTCTCTCTCTCAGAAATAAATAAAACATTTAAAAAAAATAAGTAAACATTAAAAAAATAATTTAAAAAACTCACAATTTTCTTGGACCTGTCAGAAAGTTGAAATCACAGAGCAACTAACTAACCCAAAACTTAAGGAAAGATTGGTAACTCCAAAGAGAGATGGAACACGATTCTGCACTTACCAGGTGCAAGATACTAAACAAGCCAGTATAAATCTGTTAAAATTTTAAACCAATTATTCATAGCTGAGTATGAACCTCTGTGAGAATACAGAGTGTCTGGGAGTCTTGTGTATATGACACAAAGGGGACTTCACAGCCTCTCAAGTTTTTCTCCCTAGACCTAGACCAGGTATTCACTTGAAAGTCTGAGTGCAGGACTAGAAACCAGAGAAGGCCTTCATCATGGAACAGGCCTGATGGAGGCAAACACCAGCCACCATAAGATGAGAATGACCCCTCATCCAGTTTCTCTCTCCTAAGGAACAAAAGCATTTACTCTGAAGGAAGAGTACAAGTGAAGACCCATTGCTGCTGAGACAAAGGAGCAGAAAAAACTTTATAACCCAGGGTGAGGCATCTTCCCCAGAAACTGGAGAACACTTCTAGGGGAGCAGCAGAATCACTGAGAAGGCTCCACTTTCAAGACCCAGGGACATAGCAGCCCAGTTGGTCATGTTATATTCCAGCTCTCACCAGCAGACCAGCAGAGTTCAAGTAACAAGTGACAAGCTCTACTCCTGAGGGAAGGTGGAGAACATGAAGAGTGACCTGATTTGTAGCACAGCAACAAAAGGAAGATCTAATAGTGATAGTGGGTTAGACATCAGGAAAAACCTAATTCATCATCCCACGCTCTGAACAAAAGGTAAAGTTAGAGGAATGTGATACATTCACTGAGGACATTCAAAGCAATGGCATGAAGAAATGAATTACCTGAGTAGTCTTTTACCTATTAAATAAGTTGAATCTGGAGTTAGTAACCTTATAACACAGAAAACTCGAGGCCCAAATGACTGCATGGTGAATTTAGTCATTTAAAGGCTAAATACAATTCTCCACAAATTAACCAAAACATATAAACAGAATGAGCACTAACCAAATCATTCAAGGTATAGTTGAGGCCATATTATTAAAATCCATTTCATTAAGTAGAATAAATAGATAGTCAGGGGATGAGCTCAGTCTTGCAGGAAAAACTGTTTGTGCCTACAATCTTACAGCATAAATGATTGTTTCAAAGAATCTCAAGTTCCGGATGTGATGCTAATTAACACAAATTCCCACTAAGAATTTATGACATCATTTTTTCTACTATAATAAAAATAAGTAGGATCTTTTTTTCTAAAGTGCATGCTACAGAATATTAGCATCATAGGTTGGTCAAAGGATCATTTGAAGTCAATATCACCTTAAAATTTCAAAGGAATATATGTTAGTTAAAAATATGAGAAATCCTGCAATAAAAATAGAGCTAAAATTTTAGTTTTATTGGACAGTATTTACGTAGATATTTTCTCTGAATCCTTTGTACAAATAATGCCAATAATATCACCTAGAACTAGAGAACACTGAGCGGTAGCATATGGAACAAGAGTTCCATCTTTAACACACACACACACACACACACACACACACACACACGTACTCACTTAGCCAATACTGTACTTGGAATGTCACTAAAGCTTCCTGCTTTCCTTAAGAGAGAAACTCGTCCATGAAGTGGCAAAAGACATAGAGACAGTACTGTTTGAAAAAGAGTTTTTTGTTTGAAAAGAAGTGTCAGTAAGCCAGACTTTATAAGTACTCATTCATCAAGTAAGTGGTACAATTTCAAACCAAAAGACTATGAATTTGCCAAGATTGTCAAGTTTTTGCAATTCTCTTCATGGTAGAAAATAGCTACTTTTCTTACATGAGTATCGTATTCATAGGATCAATTTCATATCTTCTGACAATAACATGGTGGAGGCAAGAGGAACCTATGCTTCTTGATAGCAAGTCCAGGCATATGGGAATGTTTCAGCATCTATTGTTTTGGGGACCAGCACTGGTAAGGGTGATGAATTACTCCTGTTTAAATTAGGATATGAAGGGATTTATGGATGTTTTTATTATTTGTGTGGCATTTCTTTTTTGGAGGGTTGATATTGCTTTAAAATGATGCCAGGTATGGAATGCAATGTGTTTGGTCATAATGGAAGCAGAACCAAGAGTTTGTTTTCTTCCACATGGGGAATCTGAATGAGTTCCAAACAATGGGAAATGATAAAACACTTTTATTCATGTGTTGGACATGGGCCCGACTTTTCATTTCTGGGTTTGAGAAGGAGGGTGATAGGCCTCCTCTAAGATAGGCCTGCATAACTTCCAGATGTGCTCTTTCTGTTCTGAACATAGAGGATTAGTTCTGCTCCTTTCTAAAATGGATTATTTATAAGAGTTATGTTTTGGGGCGCCTGGGTGGCTGAGTCGGTTAAGCGTCCGACTTTCACTTAGGTCATGATCTCGCGGTTCGTGGGTTCGAGCCCCGCGTCGGGCTCTGTGCTGACTGCCAGCTCAGAGCCTGGAGCCTGTTTCAGTCTGTGTCTCCCTCTCTCTCTGACCCTCCCCTGCTCACGCTGTCTCTCTCTCTCCTAGAAATAAATTAAAAAAATATATATTAAAATAAATAAAAAACCATGTTTTTAAAAAAAAAAGAGTTATGTTTTTTTCTTGGAAAATACTTTCAGCACCTGTTCTCTAATATGTTTAGTTCTGATGCCATAGATTACAGGGTTGAGAGCAGGTGGAATGACTACATAGAAATTAGCCAAGAGGATGTGGATATAACGTGGTATATTCTGGCCAAACCTGTGGGTCATAAATGAAAAAAATGCAGGGGTGTAGAAAGCCAACATGACACACACATGAGAGCCACAGGTGCTCATGAGCCGGGCATCATGAGAAGGCAGTCGAAAGACAGCACGAAGGATGTGGACATAGGAAATGACAATGGCTATGATGTCAAACACCAGGATAGAGATGGCACATAAGCCATAGATGATGTTGACCCTGATGCTGGCACAGGACAGGCGGGCAATGCCCATGTGTTCACAATAAGTGTGAGGGATAAGTTGGTGTCCACAAAATGGTAACCGAAGGATGAGGAGAACAAAAGGTATGGCAAAAGACAAAGGCCTCAGTAGAATTACCAATGCAATGATGAATACCACCTTGTTCGTCAGCACCAGAGTGTACTGAAGAGGGTTACAGATGGCCACATAGCGATCATAGGCCATGGCCACGAGCACAGCTGACTCCATGCCAGTGCATAAGTGGATGAAGAACATTTGGATGAGACATCCCTCAAAGGAGATTTCTCTCAGCCTGAACCAGAAGATGCCAAGCATCTTGGGGATGGTGGATGTGGAGAGGCCCAGGTCGATAGATGACAGAATGGCCAGGAAGTAGAACATGGGCTGGTGGAGGCTGCTATCAGTTTCAATCACAGAAAGGATGCTGATATTGCCAAGAACAGCTATCAAGTACACAACAAAGAAAGGGAAACCCATCCAGGTATGTATGTGCTCCAGCCCAGGGATCCCCAGAAGGAAGAAAGAATAGGGATGAAATAGGGTGTTATTAAGTGAGACCATCTTTCTGGGATAAATTTAGAGCAAAATATATTATAAATCAAGTACCTCTTATTCACTGAGTAGGTCTCATCCTTGCTTCGGGCACAGAGAAAGTGAAGAAACCAGTGAAACATTTATTGTATCTACCCATATCATTGCATCATTGAGACTTGAAGGCATACAACATTGAATGGTAAAATGAAGGCACTTGATTTCAGTGTACTTCATCATATCCATTCAATTAAATATTTTCATGAAATGAAAATTGACTGAGTATCTAGTATGTATCTGGTATATATGTGCCAAGCTCTGTGCTAAGACTAATTGCAAAGGATGAGTTAGACGAGGTTCTTTTTTTGATGGAAGTTCAAGTTTTAGTGGTTGAAACAGTTATGCAAATCAACCATCTAAATTGATAAAACAATTTTTAAGATAACGGTGTTCTGCTGTTATATAAGTGCACAAAACATTTTCCTGAAAATCATTTATCATCATTTTATGGAAAAACAATTTGATTTCCGACTACAGACCTTATGTACAAGGTAGGGACATAACATAAACATAATGACAGCCCTTGTGATTCCACATGTACAGCATTTCTGAGCTGAACCTATAATGCACTCTTCTAAGGAACTATAAGTATAGCAAACCAGAACTTTGTAAGACAATTTTGGATCTGTGTTGGCTTCTCACTGTTTAAGTCCCCCAAGCATTTTTCATGCCATAATCATCTTCTGATCTCTCCCTTCTTGCCGGTGCCAGCATCAGAGAATAAATCTGCCTTGAGGTTTTATAAGGAAGCCACACAAAACTTCATTTCAGGATACACCTCTTAATCTGGGTGAGTCTGCTTAGAATTGAACATACATATTCTTCTTCATTTTTGTCCTGATGATAGGCAAATAGACCCTTGCACTTTAAGTGCTCTCCTTATTATGCCTGTCTGGAAAGAAATGCAGATTTATACATGGATGCATAAACATTATTGTTCAGGTTTATAAAATATTACAAGATCATCAGGTAAAGTGAGTTAATTTACACAGACCACTTTTTGAAACTAAATTCATCATTTGTCATACTATATATGTTGTCACAATATATACACCTTAATAATTTTAAGTACATTGTGATCAGGAGCTCTTGCTTGTTCTTTTATAGATAGATGATGATAGATAGATAGATAGGTGATAGATAGATAGATAGATAGATAGATAGATAGATAGATAGATATGCACACAGAGAGAGAAGGTCTTCACTTCGAAGTGCTAAGTAGAAATAAGAATTACTAATTTAAGGAAATTGCCACCATCAGAAAAGTAGATCTAATCCATACCACTAGAAGGCTATCTTGTTATTAACAAGAGAAGTTTGGAAGAACACAGAGGGCTGAGGTAAGATGTATTATTGTTATAGATCTGTTTCAATGTACTCCACTCCCATATATATAGAATTGGACCTTTCCATTGTTCTTCTGCTCAGTATTCTATGAGACTCTTACGTACTGTGCAAAGCAGGAACAAGCTACATTAGCCAGACTGACTTATGAGAGACTCTTGAATGCTGAGAACAAACTGAGGACTGATGGGTGTGGGGGGGAGGGTGGAGATGGGCATGGAGGAGAGCACTTGTGGGGATGAGCACTGGGTGTTATATGGAAACCATCTTGACAATAAACTATTTGTAAAAAAAAAAAAAAGAAAGAAAGAAAAAGAACACTATTTCTGGGGATGGAAGTGTGTGTGTGTGTGTGAAGGGTGCATTTCATTTTACCTTGGGTCTTGGGCAAACTGACTAAGAAATCCTAGAAAAAGTTTGATCACAGGTACAGGAATGAGACAGTTAAGATAATTAGTCAAAGGCAAACAAATTACTAGATTGAGAAAATAGAAGAGGGATTTCAAGAAAGAAAGAACTATGTAGAAAACTATCCCTAATTTGAATAGGGATGACTATAGGCAAGGAATGGCATTTAAATCCAGGGGATTTGGGAAGATGAAGTAGAATCCTATGATCAGATCTCTTTTCTGTGATTGTGGTTCAGCTAATTAAGATTTTAGTGTGTGAGAAATGGCATACTGTTTGGAAGCAGACACTAGGCACTGAAGCCAGGGTCTGCATGCCGTGTGAATTTGTAACATTATTTCCATTCTTTGGGTCCATGATTCCTCACCCTTGAAATGAGTCTGAAAGGCCTACATAGCAGGATTCTTGCAAAGTTTGCATGACTCAAGATGGGTCAACAAAATAGTTATGATTACTGGTTAACCTGTCGATAAGAGCATGATAAAGTAGAGAGCTTTAGTGGAAGTGATTCTGACATATCTCATGCTTTCAGGTAGTCCATACATCAGGAGTCAGCAAACTAAATCCTGATCCTTACTTTATCTTCATATAAATATTTTGATAGGGTATCTAACATTTATAATAGAGTATATCTGATTACCCTATCCTTATACATTTTCACCGACATTAGCATTACACACTTGGAGGCCAAACCATTCCAAAATGATCAGTACTGCCTTTAGTTGGAAGAAAGTGACAAGTGATTTGGTGTGTTTTACTAGGTTGAAATTTGTGAGAGATAATTTCTGAATAGCTGAAGATAAGTTCAATTATTGTTCTCCCTCTGGGTCAAAAATGGACTCAGCCTTGGGCTATGTATCCAATCTTTAAGTTAGACTAGAAGGGATTGAAGGAGAGATAACAGTGAGAAAGACACAGAACTCTTGAAGAGAAAGAACTTGATAGATCAGTGAATAGTTAGGCTCCAGGTCAGTGAGGAGCTTTATGGACAAAAAGAATGACAGAGGTGTCAAAAGATAAAGAAGCTGAACACAGAGATGTTCTAAGGGTATATTAGAAATGAATACAGAACTTGCTCACATGCATGCAAGAGATTATGCCAACACATTGTCATAGTCAGTTCCTTTATCCCCTCCCTTCAGTCAAGAAGTTTTCCTACCTCCCACCCCTCCAACCTATCACCTTCCACTCTTTTCCTTGTGCTCAGCTGGCCACAGATAAGGATCCATACTTATAAAGCATTGCTTACAAGCAAGAACTCCTGGAGAAGTTAGCAAATCTCTTCTAGTATCCTTCTGAGCTCCATTTGCTTTGGTGGGAGGATTTTTTATATGTTGCCACAGCCTCTAGAGTGAGAACATAGCATATCTTGGAACTCCTTGGGGACAGTACAGGATACAAAGCTCTGAGATTTGGATTAACTCCTTTTCTAGTGGAATATACCAGACATCGATAGACCATGTCCCGATTCTGGACCCAGACTTCCAAATTTAGGAGTAGCGTATTTCCAGGGCAACAATTGTTATTATTTTGGTCTTGTAAACTCCTTAAGCATTTTTTCCCAGCAGATTTCCTGGAATTTATCTTAGGATATTAATTCTAAACTTCTTAAAGTAGGGGTGGGAGGTCACCTGGTTGGCTCAGTCAGTGGGAAGCAACAGACCAACTTCAGCTCAGGTCATGATCTCGTGGTTCATGAGCTCAAGCCCTGCCTAGGGCTCTGTGCTCACAGCTCAGAGCCTGGAGCCTACTTTTGTAGATTCTGTGTCTCCCTCTCTCTCTCTGCCTTTCCCCTGCTCTCACTCTGTCTCTTTCTCTCTCAAAAATAAATAAACATTTAAAAAATGTAAACTCCTCAAAGTGGCTTATCCAGGCCCCAAATACACATAAGCTAATGATTGTATTAAATCTGAGTATACCTTCTTACTATTGTGCAATTGCTATATTGATTCAATATTTATTACAACCAAAGTGCTAAAAAGTAAAGAAGTACACTAAAGTTGAATCATAATGATTCAATATTTAGCATTACTGTACTATCCCAAAGTGAAGGAATGCACACAGTTTTGTGTCACATTGAAATCTATTATGTCATTCCAGTGAGCATTCTGTCAGTAATGAAAGGCAGATATAAAAAGCCAGAGGTCAGAAGCTAGTCACTTTATCACTCCCCCACTGTCTACTTATTTAAAACCTGTATAAGTAGTTGCCTTATCCTCTCAATCTCAATTTTGAAACCTGTAAAATGAGGATATTTGTCAAACAAGTTTTAGTGTCCTATAGTCCTAACATCATATGAGGTTATCATCCAATTTTACCAATGAGGAGACAGAAATAGAGAAGGGAAGGATGGTAGAATTGAGTGCTCAAGCTTCCATCTGGAGGGCTTTTCTGTGATTAATGGGAACTGATCTTGGACATTCAGGTGAATATATCATTTCAAGGTTCATTCACTGATGATTTTGGTAACCAGACACTGACAATCTACTGTGTGTCAGGCACCATTTTAGGCACTGCACATACAGTAGTGAACAGGATAGTCAGAATACATTTTCTCTAATAAGAGGAAGACAAGAAACAGAATAATTACATAGATGACAACATGAGCTGTGTTGAAACATAAAGCTGGGGAGCAGGGGAGATGCTGATTGTCAGGATTAATAATTCTAAGTAACATTGTCAGGAATGTGACATGTATGTAAGGGTTAGGGGATAAAGGTGCCAGCCATGTGGGATTGGGAGCGGATGATGTCTGATGGGGAAGCACTGCCAGCTGAGGCAACAGCAGATGCAGAGACACTGAATGAATCTGAACTATGTTGGGTGTCATCAAGGAAAATGCAAGTTTCACAGAATCCAGGTCTCAAAGATGTGGGCAGCAGTTTGAACTGAAGACTTCTACACACTTACAACTTAGAACGCCATCGTCTATTAGGATAAGCACCAAAGGAGATCCACATACAGTGTCCAGAAGTTAGGAGAGCTCCTGGTTACTATTAGTTAAGGAGCCATATTTAAATCAACCCAGTTACTTGCTGTTTGTTTTGCTTTGAATAGCAAATCCTGGCAATAGGGGAAAAAAAAACATCTCAACAAACAGTTAACTTTTTTTAACTGGCTGATATAAATATGTATTTCCATGCCTTCTCACTCCTTCTTCTACCAAGTTATGGTAATCACTATCAAATATTTAAACATCTCAAATGCAAAACAAAAAA